GGTGTCAGGTTACCACCACAGAACTTAAAGATGATTACTCATGCTCTAATTCTGCAAACCGCTTCTGTGCCCATGATAAGACAGTGGAAACGGTGTGCTTGAGTTTGGCAGGCAATCTACCATAGTCTGTGGTTAAAGCAATCGGCTGATCATCCAGTTAAAGCCAGAGACTCCGGAACAGAAGACAATTACATTCACAACACTGCAGCGTGCAAACGCATCCTCCAACTAGATCATTCGACTCACTGCACTGTGACAAATTTCATACTGAATGGATAATAATGTCATAATAAGGTCCAGCTGTAATGGAGCCACAGAGCCAACATGTTCCATGATCCACAAACATCTCCGGGCCACTGGGGGCTCCTGTGGGTGCCGGCGTCAGGAGTAAAGCTGGAATTGTGTTTAATAACACAAGCTGACATTTGGATTTGAGTAATATTTAGACATTGTAGAGGTCTGGATGGGGACTCAGTTGAAGCACAATGCTGCAGTTAACAAAACCTGTCACCTGACACAACCAGTGAGATCAAACCCAACCAGATTAGATTAGATTAGATTAAATTAAATTAAATTAAATTATTTATTTTTTTATATAAAATAAAATAAAATAAAGTATCATTATTGGCTTAAGGTTAGTGATTTAAATAAGACTTGAAGTTAAATTTACACTTGAAGGTGGGCTGTTTTGACCTGGTCCATATAGCAATACCCTAGCATTCATACAACACCCTGGTAACCACCAAGAATTCCGTAATGTTATGTCCCTAATGTTATGTAGCTTTGCACATGTAAGAACATGTTAGAAGACACTCTTTAAAAAAACTCATATTTTCTTATTAAATAATAATAATAACAACCTTTGTATATTTTTTATTTTAATAATATATTTTTTCATTAATTACAAATCCAATCCTGATGGAAATTTGGGTCTTTTTGGTCTCAGATTAGGTATCAGACTTCTAGTATGGGTAAAAAATGAGAGTAGAGAGTTTGTGTATATATGTGTGTGAGAGAGACGCTTTACCCTTCACAGCACACTCCCTCTGGGATCCCAGAGCCCATTTACAAACCCTCTTCAAAAAATAGCTCACACACACATTATCACTCTCTGAACGCACGCACACGGCCACTCGAATACATATATACATCATATATAGGTGCACAAAAGTGTGTACAAGTGCACAAATGTATGAGGCTGCCGATAATCCATCTGTCCTCATCTTAGGATCATGAATTCTTCATCTGTCCAGGGTCTATTTGTCATGAAGAGGCCAATTCACTCGTTGTAGTTGGTTGTATATGCTACCACTGTATAGTAAAACCTCAAGGCAGCTACATTAATGGGACATGTGCACACATACACTACCATTCAAAAGGTTTTTTTTTTTTTTTTTTAAACAAGCCTCTTATGTTCACCAAGGCTGCATTTATTGATCAAACATACAGTAAAAAAAAAAAGAAAACTGTGAAATATTTTTCCAATTTAAAATTTTCTGTTTTAATGTTTTCTTTTTTAAATACACTTTAAAATGCAATTTACTCCTTTGAAGTCAAAGCTGAATTTTCAGCATCATTACTCCAGTCTCAATTATAATAAATTATGAATGGTACTCAACAAAAAATAAAAAATAAGACTTTTATTCAGCAAGGATGTATTCATTTGATCCAAACTAACAATAAAGACATTTATATTGTTACAAAAGATTTATATTTCAAATAAATACTGTTCTTTTAAATGTTCTATTTCTCAAATAATTAAAAAAAAAATTATTACGGTTTATACAAAAATATTAAGCAGCACAAATTGTTTTCAACATTGATAATAATAAAAACCACTGTTAATATTTGAGTACCAATTATAATTGATATCAAATCAGCATACTAGAATGATTTCTGAAGGATCATGTGCGGGGCCAGCTCCAGGCATGGGCAGGGGTGGGCTGAGCCCACCTAAATGACTGTCTTGCCCACCCAATCAGAATTAGATAAAGATTGCGTTATTTTTTGTGCAGTGATTAAAACCAATCTGAAGCACTGTAATTTGAGAAGTTTAAGATATAGCTGGATACTGCCCCAACAATCATAAAATAACACCAGAGAATTGCAGCATTTTTCTTTTATTAGCTGAAAAAATATGTAATATCTATATATTTTTTTCAATATTTTTTTCAAATTCTGCCATTTTGAATTGAGAGTAGGGCTGACATTTAGGTCATTTAGGGCTGTCATTTCATGTAATTCATAATTATTGTGACAATAGCATTTTTTCTGTTTTGCGTTTTCACCATATTAGGAATACAACTAAAATTGAATGGGTGCATATTTTAAAGGGGTCATATGATGCGATTTCAATTTGTCCTTTCTCTTTGGAGTGTTACAAGCTCTTGGTGCATAAAGAAGATCTGTAAAGTTGCAAAGACTAAAGTCTCAAATCCAAAGAGATATTCTTTATAAAAGTTAAGACTCGTCCATGCCCTCCTAAAACGTCTAGTTTAAACACGCCCCCACATGTCTATGTCACTGTGTGGGAAGATTTGCATAACACCAATGTACAGTATGTGGAAAATAATGTGTTTTTTTAACCTTAAACCGCATAAACACATTGCATTACACAAAATAATGTTCTTTTTAGCAACGTCATATGACCCCTTTAAAATAAAACTATTATTTGCAGTTCAGATTGATTATTTTACAAAAAAATCTTATTCTTTGACTGTTTTTTTCTCTTCTTTTAATTTATTCCACTAAATCCATTTAAATCCTTTATTTATTTAGTTCCTTTACCATTACCATAGTGGTCTGGTCTTTATATTTACCTCAAAACAATGGTCCCCCCAATGTTCTAGACATGAATATGACATTGTTTGGTATAAATAAAAAAAGTTAGTTGAAAAGAATCATCAGTGTAGAAACAATGATACAGAGAAAGAGAACAAAGAGTTTTTTTGTTTTTTTTACTATTCAACAACGAAAAAAAGTTGATTTTATTTTGAAAATGCATGATATTCTAGGCTGCCCATGAAAGCTTTTTTCAGTGTACATATAATATATTTACTATAGCAATATCTACAATATAAATATCTAGATATTTTCCCCTTGCAATATCACTGAAAATTCAGTTTTACATCACAGGAATAAATTACATTTTAAAATATATTCAAATAAAAAACAGTAATTTTTAATTGTAATATTGTTTCACAATATTACTGTTTTTACTGTATTTTTAATCAAACAAATGCAGCCATGGTGAGCATAAGAGTAATTATTCCTAACTAAGATACATATTCTGTATTATTTTATTTATTACTTATACAGAAAATATCAGTAGCTAACTTATATAATAATAAAAGTGAATGGAAATGGTGACTATGATAGACAAAAAAAAAAAAACATGAGCACGTGCTATTCTTCTTCCACATGTCCTGTTCATTTACTCATCTCCTTCGTTACTGAAACACCTCCTCAAACAATCACATAAACACGCTGTCCAAATTATCATCTATCTAAAACCCTTTCACTGCCATAAAAAGCTTTTTTTCCTGAATAGAGTCAGACATCTACACCTGCCTGTTAAATTTCTCTGTTTCTCTCTTGTTTCCTGCTGTTTGTCGCTCTTTCACCCTCCCAGGATGGAACGGTGTGAATTAAAAACCACACAAACAAAGAAGCCCATTAAATTATGTTGGAAGAGCTACGAAAGCACAAACTAAATGAGGTACAGAAAGATTTGTTCCTTGTGTGAGAGTCCTTTGTGAAAACAGCGGGAATATATGCACATGTCACATGAACACACACACACACATGCTCAGTGGTATGATAATGTGATAGTCTGCCATCAAGGTCACGCTCACCTCTACATCTGGCAAAGGGGGAAAATCATCAAATAACACACTCAACAGCAACAATATGGAAATTAGGACCATTTGCTGAAATCGCCTGTGTACGTGCTTCAATATCAAACTCATGTTCATATTAACATGTAGCTGCACTGTGAAGTGCTTTTCATCCTTATGAATGACTGTGGTCTGTATGTATAGTGGAGTCGTGTGAAAGCATGTTAAACAAATGAAAGACACAGCTGTGAAAAAAATGTGATGAACATTAAGAATTTCTGTCACTAAGTCTAAAAACAACATTGAATTATTCCACACTATAACACTGCATTTAGAAAATCATTTAGATTTTTGACAATGGATATTTATAAAATATTATGATCAATCAATGATTTCATCAGCACTGCAAAAATATTAAAGGAATCAGTCATTCAAAAATGAAAATGTACTGAAACCTTACTTCAACCCTGGGCATCCAAGACATAGATGAGTTTGTTTCTTCATCAGAACACATTTGGTTAAATTTAGGATTACATCCTCACTTGCTCACTAATGGATCCTCTGCGGTGAATGGGTGCTGTCAGAATGAGAGTCCAAACAGCTGATAAAAACATCACGATAATCCACACCACTCCACTCCATCAATTAACATCTTGTGAAATGAAAAGCTGTGTGTTTAACTTTAAACCGTTGCTTCTGGCCAAAAACCAGTCCACAATCCACAATAACGCTTCCTCCAGTGAAAAAGTCCATCCTCTGTTGTCTTCACATCAAAAATCCTTCCACATATTTGTTTAGAGCTCTTTCTTGCTTGATCTGTGCATATTTCTCTCCTGATTCAGATTAGACAACTTCTTCACTGAAGAAAGCAATATCATGGATAGAGAGGACTCATATTTTAAAGGGAAGCAGTGGTTTCATCATGGATTTGTTTCTTACACAAGACATTAATTGATTTACTGGAGTGGAGTGAATTACTTGTGGATTATTGTGATGTTTTTATCAGCTGTTTGGACTCTCATTCTGACGGCACCCATTCACTGCAGAGGATCCTTTGGTGAGCAAGTGATGGAATGCTACATTTCTCCTAATCTGTTCTGTTCTAGTTGGGTGTAATTACTATATCATATATTAGACACTGAAAAACAGCTTTGTTGTACTTACTTTGGGAAACTGTTTTACAGGGATCAAAATCTTCTGGCCCAGTTTCATGTTCTTGTTGATGACCACATCAATGAACTTCTCATCCTCTTTGTCTTCGTCTTTCTGTACCTTTTCGATTTCTGTTAAGAGAGACAGAGACAGGGAGAGTTAGTCAAATCATTATCTAGGTAGAATAAAGGTTTATCCGTGTGAATCTCAGGTTCAGATAAGCTCAGATAACAGTCCTGCCATTTGCCCGATGTCATCTGTACCAAGCGTATTTTGACTGATCAGTGGACTGTGAAATAGCTTCCATTGGCCACGCTTTAATTTAACTGGATGTGCTTATAATCATATCTGATAGACATTCCTCTGTGATTGGTGGATATTTTTGTTGGTGAGGCAAGCGTTGTTAGACATTAAAGTGTGTAAATGAGCTCTTTGAACACGCACAGAAGTCTTTGTTGTTGTGGGACACAGTGGGGTGCTGGGTTATTAGTCACATTAATGAGTTCTTGTATGAGTGTAGGTACTCGTGATACATTGCAGTATTGGGAAAATGTGGGTTCGCAACTCGATGTACTTAGCGGAAAACAGTATTGAAAAGGTAATTTCAGAGGCGGTGGCAAGACGACAGAAATTTCCAAATGTCCATCAAACGTCAAACATCCACATGATCTGGACAGTACAATGATTAAATTGCTCAATCAAATGCAAGATTTATCTTATCCATACAAACGTAACCAGATAACTGTTGACGTGATTTTGACAATTTCATATAGAATTGAGTTTTAATGTCTCTACAACAGACCAAATTTACAGATCAGAACATACTGGTTTGAGTTAGATTTGTGTGCTCACAAACATTTATCAAAAAAGGGCTGTGAAAAAATATTCAAGCAAACATCAAGCAGGCATACTCAAGCTGATGTGGTACATCTGCAATACTACATAATTCCCATCCCATTGCAATAAACCTGTTCTTTTATAGCTAAAACTTGACATCTGAATATTAATTAGCTCATGCAACAAGGCCTGATTAATAATCATGAGATAAATATCCAAGAGAGTGCCCGCCTACTGTTTAAGCAGCCATAGTTCTAGAAGTATTTTTCTATACCTATAGGTATTTTTTTTTAATCTTTAAGAGTTACAAGCCATGAACCAAACTGACCAGCTACGAAGTAAATGATAATATTACAAACTTTGATTCAAAGTAAAAAAGTATTTAAAATTTGGACAAAAAGACAAAAAAGTACAAGACTGTGTACTTAACGGTTTAATGAGGGAAAGAACTACAATCCCATGAATCATTGTGTAAGATGGTAGAATTATGGATAAATATAAAAAGTTCATTTAAAGATGCTGATTATGTATATAGAAACAATTAATTTTATGTTTATTGCAATATATGCATTTGCAGTGTTTCATGGGAGTTGGTGGGTGTGATTTGCTTGTTGTGAGTCTCTGATTGATAAAGATTTCACTGCAGAATCATGGGAAATGTAGTTTTTCCACCAGAAATTCTTCCGTTATACATGAATATTTCAAAAATCTGATGAAATAGTGCAGCCGATGGCTTCAGCAAAAGCATATACCATCAGTTAACAGCAGTATAGCTCACAGCAGTTCTGCCTTTACATTTACTATGAAAAATTAATTCTACTATGGAGAAAACGAATGGGATTTTTACTTCTGAAACCTGACTGTGGCACTCTATTTGCCTCTAAAAGGAGCTCCAATGTTGCTTCGGTACCTGGTTTCAGCAGTTCCCAACTTCTTAACGAGCATTCCAGAAACTTATCCAGTAAACCCTGACCATTAACTCTTAATGATATTTAGAGTCCATCAAAACAGTTTAAATATGAAAAGCACTTTTAATGTTCTTTTCCACAATCTGTCATCTTGTTACGCTTATTACACTTCAATATTCAACTCTCTTTTCCATTATTTGTGCTTTGGTGAGGACAGTTTATGCAAAATGAAGACATCCTACATTCCCTTGACTAATCAGGAAAGCACTTCTACTCAAAGAGTTTCAAAGAGTCATCAAAAATAAAACCATTCTGTCTAGACTGAATCTGAGACCCATCATACAAACCAGAGTATATATAACATACGACAGTATATGTATATATATATATATATATATAAAACCTGTCTAGCAAACATTTGCAGAGACAGGTGTGTAAAACAATGTAAATGATCTTTCTTAATTGTACACTTGTAGAACACATGCTAGCATTGCATTGCATTATCCTCTACAGTTTGGGTGCTAGAAGACATTGCTGTCAATCAAACAACTGCAAGTTAATACTTGATGCTGGGGATTTTATGTCACCTAGTTAGAGTATGTTGTCATGTCTCATCTGGGATCTGTGTGTCAAACTTTATTATAAAATATCAAATTATATGTATAGCTACTCGGAGAGTTGGGAAGAGAACAAACTCTGCATCCCTTCCCCGCTCCGTTTCCAAGGTCCACAGAGACAGTAGCTTCAGCGGTCTGAGGTTCATCTCATTGTTTCATATCATTATTTCTGTAGTCGAAGGGCACAAAACACACCCAAGAGAATACTGTGAAAAATATACATTTCCCTCCTAAGATAATCAGCAGCCTTTCCAACAGAATCACCATTCAGAGGATTGTGACCTACCAACAAATCTAAGCTCTGCAACAATAACGTACAACCTCCACTTTACACATATTTATCAACTAAAAGAAGTTCAACTCGTTTCTGCAAATCTGTTCTTTCTAATACTTTTTACGCTTTAATATGTCTATGCAGGCACATGAAAATTATATATATATATATATATATAAACACACACAGTGCATCCTTGCTGAATAAAGGTATTGATGTAAGATGTTTATTCATTTATTTTTTTACTGATCCCAAACTTTTGAATAGTGTGTATATATTTTCTCTTGTTAGAAAATCATTAGAAATAAAAAAAGAAAAAAATGTTTTAGAAATAAAAAAAGAAAAAAAAATGTTTTTTTAAACAAGGAATTTTGAGAAATTTGTACATAGAAAGTCGGCGTGTTTTTGTTGAAAATAATGATGGTGACTTACTATAACTGAAATACTCAAGCCACAGCACTATTTCAAGGCATTTTGCACCCGTTTAAACTATATTGTGGGTGGTTTGTGAATAAGATTCAGGGGTTTGTGCTGAAATATGAAGTGCTGAAGTGATGCAGCAGTTTATTGAATTCACCCCTCATTGTTTTGAGAAGATGGGGTCTCTCTCTTCACATGTCAAGATCATCTCATTTCCATCCAAAACTCACAGACTAACATTGTATTTCCAGTCATGATGAAACATCACAGTATCAGGGCCAGCACAGTATCAGAGCACAGGTGGGGAGAAATGAATAGTACAAAGAAAGAAATTTGGGCTTTTTAATTTAAAATTCATACGCTGGCATGATTTATGGGATTAGGGCGGACTCCCCCATAAGTCTCCAGCAGAGGAGTGGAGAGACAGAAAAAGCTCCATTAACTCCTCAAATTTCACTTCCTGATCACAAAAAAAGCATGGCAGAAAGAGGAGATTGGCAATAACATCTCAAACAGAAGCTCTGAGAGATGGGAAACGCTCAGCAATCCTGGAACAGACCATACAAGGCGGCATCTGGTTCTAAGCAACATGGAGAAAAATTTATTTTTCATATAGAAATATAAATAAAGGTCTTTGAAACAAGAAATATCTGTTTAATACTTTCCCAAAGAGAATTTGTTATATTTTAAACCATTTTTTTTTACAAAATATATAGTGAGTGGAAATGGAGTCACAGGCGGACGTCCGGAAGCATAAGAGCTGAAAACGTCACCAACTTGGTTGTCTGAAGGAGATGCTAAAACAGGCAAGCCCTAGGTGAGGGGACGCAGCGTCTTGTTCCCTCTCGGGGAGCCATGGTTACATGCGTAACCCAGGACGTTCCCCTTCTAGGGAACTCGCGCTGCGTCCTCTAGCAGACACTATGGAGAATGGAATAACCACTCAGCCATTCCACGGCGCATACCTGTTCACCTGGTGAGAGAGCACCAAGAGAAGTGACAGACATACACAAAACCTTCCCTCAGAAAGGGGACAAGCCACTGACACCTGGGGCTGATAACATAACTCGGAAAAATGGGGAACCCAGCCAATAGGAGGGACATCCCATTAACCAAGCTAAGAACACAGCTATCCTTAGAAGGCTATGTTACAATGAGCCAAAGCAGCATGCCGGGCCCAGGGGGACCACCCACTTAAAAACCTTGTAGAAAGGGGGCAGCCCACCCCTACTACCTGACTAAACTTAAGGGATAAAGAAAGTAGACCGTCTATTAAACACCCCAAGGGGAGACGGCAGAAGAGGCTCAGGGGGTACCTACTTGAAAAACCTTGATAAGGGGGCAGCCCCTCAACAGAGTACTTGAAAAAACCTACATCACAAGGGAAAGATCGGACCTTCAGTCAATGGTTCGCCAACAAGAGAAACACATAAGAACAACATTAGTCCAGCCTTAGGGCCCAATGTAAACAGTATCTCTTAGCACTTGCCTGCCTCTGCGTCCAACTCCTAGAAAGAGGAGGGGCACGAGTGGCCACACTACTCTTCTGATCCTGCCTAAGATCATCAGATCGAGACGGACCAGCACCCTCAGAGGTTTTAGAGGAAGACCTGGGACGGCGTGGAATGAACTTCCTGTAAGGCAGCGGACCGCACCTTCGCCTCCCTGAACTTTTCGACCACCGCCTCAGTGAAGATGCTGAAAAACCTGGAAGGCAACAGCAGAGCATCAAGATGAAATTCTTTCACCTCTCTTCTGATATCCATGAGATTTAACCACAAATTCACTTCTGTAACCACCATTGCTTAGTGGCGCGTAGAGCCAAGTCTGTGGCATGGCGCAGTTCCGCAACTGCCCCAGGGGACAAACCCTGCCCTTATCTAGGTCTCTGAGCAAGTCAGCTTGGTAAGCTTGTAACGCTCGCGAGCGTCCTCTCCACATGGGGCATCTTCACGTATCCGCGCTCAGCCACACCCTCAACATCAGCGCAATCCTCATGCTGAAAAAGATGCAGCTGAGCTGAATATGGCTTGTCCCACGATCTCACTAACTCAGTGTGTAGGTCAGGAAGAAAA